ACGCTCCTTTAGTCCTTGCTAAAACAATTTTGGCCTGCGTGCTTTCTATTCACTGGGAGGGAGCTCAGGTCCTCTTACCAGTGGAGCCCATACAATTAGCCACCTATTCGTGAGCACTCGCTCTTTATTTCTCATTCCCTCGGTCTTTTTTTCCTTAAGGTACTTGCGCAGTAAGTATACTTGGTGAAAATTTCGAAATGGTATAAAGACGCAATATTTGGATCATATGTTGTTGACCACATTAAAAAGATATTCCCAAAATTTCAAGTCCCTGGTCCACCCCATTTTTGAGATATGCATCGCCAAACATTCAATTTTTGGACAAGGTACTTGAAATTTTTGGAATAGTTTTTGAATGTGCTCAACAACATATGACCCAAATATTGCGTCTTTGTACCATTTCGAAATTTTCACCAAGTATACTTACTGCGGGAAGTTCCTTAAGGTGAAACGGAACCCCTGTGTCTATATAAACTTTTAGAATTGTGTTTTCTCCTGCATTTATTATTTTTTATTAATGAAACTACTTCATTCGCCCAACAATGCAATGATCAAGTCGATGAAGTCATTTCATAGATATAAAGTAATGATTGTAGGAGAAAATCCAATTCTAAAAATTAAAATAAACACAGGGGCTCCGTTTCCCCTTAATACGCCTTGTTCGCGAGCCGAGTGGCCATGGAGCAGCGCATTCTCCAGTGAGTTCACTCCTTTACATTCCTTTGGGGTGAGGAGAAAAATAAAATGGGAAAGGAAGGAAACGTTCGTTTGACCATTTCTCTCCTGGTTTCTTTGCGAGGATGTTTTTTTTTAGGATGCAACTGGAGGCGGAAGAAAGGAGGTAAAATGAAACAATCGGCTCCTCAGTTTCGGGGGACAGGGGCCTTTGGCTTGCAAATTCGAGTGATTACGACTTTTGTGGCGGAGTGCTGTTCATTTGCGATGGTGTTTTCTAGCGGTAATTAGTTTTTGTGGAAGCAAGGGGGTGGGTGATGAGGCCTGGCAAAGAGTGGCTGAGGGAGATTGCAAATTAATTTTTCTTGGTTTGAAAATCCAACGAGTAAAAGTTGTTTCATGCGACAGAGTATTGTTCTGATGATTATCACGGTAGAATTTGTTTCATTTAAAAATACAAAGTTTCCAAACATGAATAATTAGATAATACCCCAGACGGAAATGGTATATTTCAGGGCGAGTGACATGGAGTTTTTTACTCGTGTGGAGTTGGCGTCCGAGCCGAAAGAGAGGACTGGCCAACCACGCGAGTAAACAAACAGATATCGAAGAGTCGTTTTATGGACCGTCAAAAGCATATACAGATACACCTCCCTCTGGTTTGCCGTCGGGGGTAAAAAAATCCCATCGCACTAGTAGTGAACGATATTTTTCCGTAGTGATTTTCACTTTTACGAGTTTGGGGAAGGGCCGATACCAATCCCTGGACGAGTAAAAGTGAAGGTCAGTATGGAAAAATATATATTCTGAAATAGTATATTGTGCATCAAGGGCGGAAAGTCATGTTTTCCCGCCCGAGGTGCACATGCTATTTTTTAACACGCCTGCAAAGGAAAGTTCGTATTTTGCTCTTTGATGAGCGGGAGGAAAGTGAGAACTTTCCGCCCTAGGATGGAAAGTTGCTCCCAAGAGCGGAAAGTCAAGACTCCGCCCGAGGGAGTAACTTTCCACCCGAGGGCGGGAAGTACTCACTTTCCTCCCGCTCATCAGAAAGCAAAGTACGAACTTTCTGTGCAGGTGTGTGAAAAAAAAGTAAATTTGGATGTTCGATGGATTATTTTACCCGGGAGAGTATCTGAAATTTATCCCAGGAACAAAAAATTAAATTTAATCCCAAGGTTAAATCAGTATTAATTCAAATGCGGTTACAGGATAAATAAATAGTATATTTCTAACCTGGGGAGGGAAAATAAAGGATCCTCAGCCGCCAGTGCAATTACCAGCCGAGCCGAAGGCGAGGTTGGTAAGCGGGCGGCTGAGGGTCCTTTATTTTACTTCCCGTGGTTAGAACGTAATTTTCCGTCTCGGCGTAGGCGCAAAGTCAGAGTTCCCTCCCGGGAAACGGGAGGGAAATGTAACTTTGCGCTCACCGGGACGGAAAAATTATTCTACGGGTCAAATATTGAAAAATTATGACCCCGAGGATAAATTTTACCCTGCGGTTTATTTGGATAACAGGGCTTGGTGCAACCGGGCCTAAGGTTTATATATTTTATTATATAAAATATATAAACCTTATATATTCGAAGAATATATTGAATTGGCCTATATTATACATATATTTTATGTATTTTTCCACGGGGGATAACGAGGTATGGGTCCCATCAGCTTGAGAATCTGCATTGGACTGATAATTTCACATTCTCTGTTGACGGTTTGGCGATAAATTGGCGATTTCTTAATTTTTGTGATTTGAGAAAAGAAATCTTATTCTGCAAAATGTAGGAAATCTGTAGTGAAATATAATAGAATTAAATATATATGTAATTCTTATAATATTTACCGAAAAATTCTTGGTGTTTAGAATAGATCTGTATTTTTAGTAGCTGCACCCTTCAATAGTATATTTCGTCACTAGGCCGAAAGAAACTTTTCTGGCGAATATGAGTTTGCAGCCCGAGCCGAAGGCGAGGCCGTCATAACAAAATAGTATATTTCGTCACTAGGCCGAAAGAAACTTGCCAGCCGTGAGGCAGCGCTTCACGGACGCTCCGCTCCGCGTCCGTGAATCTCTGCCTATGGCCGTCATAACAAAAAATACTGTTCGTCATATGGCCAAAAAAAACTTTTCTAGCTCATATGATTGCAGCCCTCGCCTTCGGCTCGGGCTGCAAACTCATATTCGCCAGAAAAGTTTCTTTCGGCCTAGTGACGAAATATACTATTTTGTTATGATTCACGGACGCTCCGCTCCGCTCCACGTCCGTGAAGCGCTGCCTCACGGCCGGAATGACAAAAATTCATTTTCTGGCAACATTAGCGTCAACTTTGGCTGATTTTAGCGATGCGAAAGGGGGCCCCTGCTTATCAGAGCTTTGAAATATCTGCCCACCCTGACTACTATCTCTTTAGGCGAAGCCCTTCCCCATCCCCCCAACCCCCTTTAGTGGCTCACCTACAGATGAACACATTTACGCATTAGTACACGGACACAATACGTGCGTAGTTGAGTCGACTAGACATCAGTGACATCATTGGTCTCTGTCACGCGCCAATAAAATGTATACTTCTCACTCGCACCTATTGTAACGCGTATCCGAATTCTCGTCTTTTGCGAATATTATATTCAGTCCGGCACAGACCGCCGAATACTTAGGAGTGAACACTTACTCCTTACATTATCTATCTTCACTTTTTGTATATAGTCTACGTCTTGTAAATATTCTGTGATTGTTTTATAAATATCGCATTTGTTAGTGAATCGTTACATCCCACAACAACCTCGATTCCTA